GTATTTTAGATAATTTTTAAGGTCATTTTTTGAAGTTTTTAGGGCATTTTCGCACTTTTTTGCATTTTTTTTAGGGCATTTTTGTGTGTTTTTTAGGTCATCAACATCCTAACTCTAATCATCATTAACGAATAAAAATTGTTCTTCGGAAGTAATTTTAATGTCCATATTGTTGATTGCTAAATGTACCTCTTCAATATTTTTCGGCAAGCTCGGCAGCAAAGATTGACGGGCCGCGTAAATATTTTTCTTGATTTTATGAATATCGGTATCATCAAAATTTAAACAGTTAGCAGTACTTTGTCCTAATTCCTTAAGTATTATTTTTTTAGCCTTGAGAATAAATCGTCAATTGCTTTTCACTTACATGCATTATTCACTATTTGTCGATTTACTTTTTTTGGTGATGGCAAATGATTATGTACATTTTGTGTAATTCATTGCATTGGCGCAACTAGGTCTAAAATATTGGGGGGGCTGAAGCCCTACACATAAATTTTGTCAATGTGAGTCATGGGGGGCTTCGCCCCCCATACCCCTCATTGCCGCAGCCACAAAACAATAATTATTAATTGAAATAAAAACAATCATAAATTCATAAAATATTATTATCATACTATATTATTAAAAATCATGTACCTACTTCTATGTAGTGTTTTACATAAAATATGACATAATCGATAATCTTAATTTGTAATTTACATATTAAGATCTATCCGTCTATTTTTATTATTAGCTATAAAATGTTCTAAGACAGTATCGCTGTCTATGTTATTAGTTAAGTCTCTTTCAATGCTTAGTAAAGATAAATTTGAAAAACGGTCTTGTAACATTGTTGAACGTAGCCAATTTTTTACCCGCCGCATAGCAGAGAATGCTCTTTCACAAGTGGCACTACTAATAGGAATTGTATAAGCTACGTTCAACAATTTATACAAGTTTGGAAAAGTGTTAGGTGATACAATTTCAGCCATTTCTGCAGGTGTCATCATTTTATTATCGGTAGATTGTTTTTTAAGATTTTGTGCTACCATCATTTCTGCCTTCAAACTTTCCAAATCGATATTCAATAAATTCTATACAAAAATAAATTAGCATTAACATTATTTTTTCATTAATGTTTAATTTAAAAACAATTAATTAACTTACTTTATAATGGTTTATAAATGTAAGGCTTTTTGAATAGTCAAACATTAAAAAGCCATCCACACTTTTAGCCAACTCCATACTTTCTTTTGAAAATCTTATTTTAAGATTCATTATTACAGTGTCCAAAATAATAAAATATTTGACACGATAGCATGTCATAATATCATTTGAGCTATGCTCTTCACTTTCACCAGTATTTACTTCTGTTATATAATTACTTAGTTTATTTGGCTGTGTTCTTTTTCTCTTAGATCCTAATAAAATAAAAAGCCTTTTAATTTCAATTTTCAACTACTATTGTTAATGACTAAAAACTATTTGCATATAATTTATTATTTATTAATAATGTACCATTCATGGATATCTCCAACAGTATGTGGTTTTTTGTACAAAATTCAGTTATTTGAGTCCAAATTGTTAAAAAATGTTCTTCACAGCGATTAGCTTCTAGGGTAGCAATAACAGAATCTATTACTTGAGATGCTTTACTCAACGTTGCAGTCTTTTCCTGGAGTTTGTTACTTAGTATATTAATTATAAGTAAAATCTCATGTAAAACAAACAAATGCACAAGAAATGAAGTTTTTTCCATTGTGTACAGGATTCCTAAAAAAATTAACTTTTAAAATACACTAAACAATGTAATTTTGTGTTAAATGGAAATATATGAGTAAGTAATCTAACCTATAGCATTTGCAACGTTTTTGTCAGTATTTTCCTCTATTTCATATTTTAAAACTTTTATTATAGAAGAATAATGTTCCATCACCATTTTGCAGTTTTTAAAACGGCAAGACCACCTTGTATCACTAATCGAACATAGTTTTGTTTTTTTAATTCCAAGTTTCTCTTGTATATCAACCAACATCATATTTTTTGATGGGATTGAAAAATGGATATACAACGCTTCTAACCCATTGAAAAGATTTCTAGCATCCTGAATAATGAAAAACAATTTTTAGTACTTGTAATTTAAATTAGTTTACATAGAGACATTACTACATTAGATACTAAAGTATACACCAGTCACCAACATACCTTAATTGATTTACACATATCAATTACCACTAAATTAGTTCTGTGGGCCATGCAGTGTATATAAATAGAAAAAGGGTTTTTGTCTTTAATTTTTTTTTGTACTCCATTGTGGTCACCTGACATAACATTTGCTCCATCATAGCTTTGTGCTATGATGGGTACATTCAGAATGTTGTGTTTGTCAAGAAATGATAAAATAGCAGATGATAATGCTTCAGCGTTTTGACTTATTGACACATCTACAAATCCAACAAACCTTTCAAAAATGTGTAGATTTTTGGAATACCTAACACATAAAGCTAATTGTTCTTCTTTAAAACACCTAAAAATAATTTTCACATATTATATATAAATTATATGATACCACATAGCTTAATTCAATATTTAACACAATTAGGTGATTTACCTTGCCTCATCACACATTAAAGCAAAATATCCGCAGTCTTTGATATCACTAATAATATTTAATAACACAGTATTAGAACAGCAGTTTATCAGTTCATTTTGAATCTTCCAACTAGAATAATTTGTATGTTGCAATGCATACTGAGTAGCAAATGTCGGGTTATATTTGGCCATAACATTACACAATTCCTTAAAATTTCCTAATTATCAAAATGTATTATTCTAATTATCTAATTATCATTAAAAAAAAATTTATATACCTTGATTATTAGAATCTTTACTCTCTAGATGCCCACGGTAAGCCAATCCCTGTCGGGCCAAAAATAGAATCAAGTCAATTAAAGTTTTGACATAATTTCGATTTTTTTCTATTTGTTCTGAATGAGCAGTTGATAGCACGGCATGCACTGAACCATTTTTTTTGCTCAAAATATAAGAGTTACATTTTTCTCTGTTTATAAGATGCTGTTTACAAGCAGCATGCAATGCAAGTTTTGATTTGGACCTTTTAGAAGATCCAGATCCAGTAGAACCACTTATCTAAACATATAATAACACTTAGTAACTAATAAAAAAACTGGCAATTGCTATCATATTATTTTCATATTCTTAAAAAGGTCATTCCAATAAAAAGTAAGGATCAACCAATCAAAAATACCATGAGAATTTCAAATTATTTTTATAGTATGTAAACATACTTTTTTCCAATTTTTGAAACCTTTTTGAACAAAAGTATCTTCAACAGAGTGTGTAGAAAAATTGCGGCAAGCATAACAGAAAATTGCATCCTTTTCAATACTGTACTCTAACCAGTCAAAATATTCATACCAAACTGCTGAAAAAGCTCTATTTTGGTTCCCAAACTTGGTCTTTGGATACACCTATCACAAAAAAAATTAACACAATAATTAATAAATAATAATCATGCATTTACTTTCTACAGTTTAGAAATTCCAAATAAAAATGTAAAATAAAAAAATAGGATATTGTGTAATTTTTTGTTTAACTGAAATTATAAATTACTTGTAATTTTGGACGAATTGGACCGGATTGCAAATCTCCCAGATCAGTTGGCATACAATCAACTTCTTTGTTTGGTTGCTATACAATTAAAAATACAAACTATAATATTTTAATATCTAAAAACTTACATTTAAGTTTAATTGAATAATATATTAAAATAATTAAATTTACTTACTTTCATGCTTTTTGAAAAACTTGGAGGATCGTCTGGATTATTTTGGTTTTCAACTGTATCAACTGTACTAGTACTGGATACTTTTTTTTGCTTTATTAAAAATACTAAATACTTTTTTTTTGTCCATTTTTACTCACTAAAGTATTAACACCAAAATAAAACACTTCCAAGTTCCAAGGTATAAATATTAAATAATACTGCAGTCTGTAGTAGTGCAATACACAAACACAACAGAAGTACAGTACAGTATCGTCACTATATACGGTTTGCACACACGCAATTGATTAGCACTGGCCACGGAGAATCCCAAAACACAGATCGACTATTCGACTCTGATTATTTATTTACAGTCGGAAATACCGGGATTTCGATTATTAGACGTTGTCGCAGTGAACCACCGCAATATTCCACCGTCGTCCGTCACATTTATTAGATAACAATATTATTATTAATTATGTAGGATTGTAGGAATTACAAAAAAAACTATAATAATAATATTTTATATTTATACAATTTACTTTTGAATAATTCTCTGCGTCATATACTCATATTATTTAGTATGTATCTCACTATCCCATGCTTAAATTATCATTACATTTTAAATAATCAAAACAACTTGGGGGGGCTATAATACATTTTGGGGGGGCTAAGCCCCCCTAAGTCCCCCCCTAGTTGCGCCAATGATTCATTGGCTACTATTTCTTTAGTTTTATTTGTATATATAACTGCTTGACAAGTAGTTAAACAACATCGCCAACGTGGTAATTTAGATTTTGACTTATACGCTAAAAAGTATTTGTAACTATCACGAATTATCAAAGGTTTTCCTCTAGAACTTTCAATAAATTCCGATTTTTCAGACATGTTAAAAGTAAAAATTTGATTAACTATAAAACACACTAAAGACACTATTCGACGTACGGTAAGCTACTAAAAGTATAGTTAATACTAGCAGGGCCGTAGCAACCGAATATTGCGCCCGGGGCGAAACTTCAAAATGCGCCCTTAAGTATTTTAATTTATAAAAAAACTAAACACTGTATATTATTTATAAATGCAATATAAATAATGATTTTGCCTTATAATTATGTAAGCGTATATTAACTTTATTTAAATCAATAACTTATTAAAATATAAATATACATAATTATTATAAGAACATTGATGTAACATAATAAATAATAATATTATTTTTACTTATAAGTAACATTTAAATTGCAATTTTTCTAGCTTTTTTCCCAGCAAAGTCTTCAATAAGTTTGTTTATATCTAAAGTATTTACCACTGTATGTTCAATAGATAAAATAGCCATATCAGATATTCGATCTTGTCCCATAGTCGACCTCAAATAGTTTTTTATGAGCTTTAACTTACTGAATGATCTTTCACACGTCGCCACAGTTATTGGCAAAGTCAAAAATATGCGTAAAGCTATTTCGACATTTGGATATTCAGCACGCAAAGAATATGTTGTAATTAATTGTAGTAGGGCTAAAGGTGTTGCGGCTCTTAAGTCAGGTAAAAGAGAAAATGCTTGAGACTTAAAATCTTTTATTTCAGAGATAAAATCGGAAGAATTTAGATCGGTTTCATACTTCAGAGATAAGTCAGCTGCACATTTTTGTATATAGTCCATAGAGTGGTCCGTCAAGCTACTACCATACAAAAATCCAAAATTTTCATTAATTTCTGACATATTTTCGAATCGATTGCTTAACTCTGTAAGAATTCGATCATAAACTTCAAAACTATCTTTTTTAAATTCATTCTGTTGAGATAGAACTTGCACATTATCTTCAATTATCTCGAAATCTAATTTTTTCACTTTCCTCTTTCGCTTATCAGAAAAATTTGCTTTAATACCGAGATCATTTGCAATCACTTTACCGAATTCAATTGTTTTTTCAATTCCTTCATTTCGCATTGTTTGTACTGATAAGATTAAACCTTTAACCATTTTGGTTGCGCTATCAATCGTTAAACTTTTCTTTTGTAAAGCTAAATTAACGCGATTAATTGTTGTTAATATTTCATTCCATAAATCCAGTAGGCAAAAAAAATTAAAATCAAGATGTTTCAAAAGATTTGTTGCTCCAAGAATTACCTCTTTAGGTAACTTTGGGTTTTCTGACATTTCTTTTAGAACATTATATACATTTTTTAAATTACGTTTAAGTGCTGATACAGAATCTTGTTTTGCAGACCACCGCGTGGCACTAGTACATTTTAATGAAATATTAATACATTTCATTAAAGTTGTCCATCTGCTTGTTGAGGATGAAAAAAAGTTAAAAATTTGTTGGACTGTGTCAAAGAACGTTATCATACGTACACATACTTTAGCGGCATCATTGCCAACTAAATTCAAGCTATGAGCATTACATGGTACATATACAGCTAAATTATTAATTTGCATAATACGTGTTTTTACACCTTTATACTTTCCAGACATGTTGGCAGCATTGTCATAACTCTGTCCTCTACAATTGCTTAGTTTTAAATCATCTTTATTTAATTTTTCTATGATTTCTAAAGATAATCCTTCGCCAGTTTTTTCGTGACTTTCCATAAAGTCTATAAAAGTTTCTTCAACTGAAACAGTGCCGTTAGAAATGTACACGTATCTTAAAACCTGGGACATTTGCTCTTTATGAGACACATCAGGTGTACAATCAAACATAATTGAATAATATTTTGATTCTTTAACACGATTTAACAGTTTTTCCCTAGTTGATTTTCCAAGAAGTGAAATTATTTCGTTTTGAATTTGAGGAGAAAAATAGCTGATAACATTATTCTTATCGTTTACTTCTTCAATATGCTTTGCCAAAATTGGATTATAATGACTTAACAATTCAAGTGTACTCAAAAATATACCACAATTAGGTTTTCCAATTCGTTCATCAGTACCTCTAAGAGCGAGATTATTTTTCGCACAAAATAAAATAACGTCAAACAAAATTTTTAAAATAGCTTTCCACTTTTCTTTTTCAGATTTTATTGCATTCTGTAAAGTGCAATCAATGGTCTTGCCACCATGAAGTCTTTTTTTCAAATTCCTTCCATTTAAATACACTCTCTTTGTGTGAAGGACTTTTCTCGTGATCCGAAATTTTCGGATTTAATTTTTTCCAATTGTTGAATCCCAAAGAAATGCTTGAAAAATATTGAGTATTTTCAATAGAAAAAATAACACATGGAAAACAAAACAATACATTTTTTTGTTTACTATAAAGTAACCAAGTACGTCTTACTTCTTCTCCATTTGGTAAAGTCCTGAAAAGCCATTTTTCATGAAAATGTCTACCAGTTTCATCAAGTGGAAAATTGTAGTTTTTGTAAGTTTCTAACTTTGGACCGTGTTCTACTATGAATGTACGAAATTTATCATTAATTAATGGCCAAGTAACTGGATCTTCGAAATCAAAATTTTCTGACAATTTAATTTCACATGGTGATTCTAGGAGTGAAATAAGAGGAGTAGGTTCAGGTTGTGATATTGCATCAGATAAAGATTGAATGTCATTATTATCATCGATTTGTTTAGTGGCGGGATTTAAAAATATAACTTCAGAAGTTTTGTTTTGAACTTCAACTTCCAAATCTAAATTTTTTTTTTGTTTTGGGTCTTTGATATTATGAGGATAGTCCACAAGTGTTTGAAGTTTTTCTACTTGATTTTCTTCTAGTTCTACTAATTTAGAAGAGATAGGTAAAGAAATATGATTATCTGGGTCTAAGTGGTTTAATGGTAGATCTACTTTAGGTTTAGATAGCCAGGTATTCATTGTTTTTGAAAGTGATTCTTGAGTTTCTTTTTTTTTTTCTCTTAATTTTTTGAAAGCTGCACCGGATAATTTTGGAGCCATATTTAAATGTTTTTGGACCCTTTTTTAAAAATTACACAGCTATTAATATTTGAAAGTAACGATTTCTTAATTATGAAGGCTTAACAAATTGTTGTGAAAAAAAAGTAGCTATAACCCGGGCAAGTAGACGAATCTAAAGTTTGAAGTATTCTCAAATGATTAATTATTATGCTCAAGTCCAAATTCTACACCAATTTGTAATTTAACTTGTGAAAAAGTTTTAAAAAAAATATCAGTGTCAAAATTTGTTTTTAAACCAATTTTTTTTAAAGTAAAAAAAACAAAATTCGTCATCTTACCCATGTGCTGGAGTAAGTTGACATTTCCCCGGGGTAAGATGATATACATATATAAATAAAACAAATTTAATATTTTATATAATAATATTTTAACAACTTATATTATTAAATGTATTAACATAATTTTGAAATTTGTACCCGTCGGGAGCATACAGTTTTAGTACGCGCGCCCAGTGACCGAAATACTTCGTAACGCACTAACGCTACTTACACACCGATCGACCTGTTAATTATTGGGTATGGTGTCGATGTGTAATGGTGTATATACTAAATATCTCGAATAAACTGTATGGAAAAAGTTCACAGCAACAAATAGATAATACAGAAAACAATAGATTACGGCCCTTTTACCAATACCATAAATAAATAATAAATATACAGCTATTTGAGCCGTTGAGAAAAAGTAATAATAAATAAATGTATTAAATAAACTCACAATTTGGCTATGCCTGCTGGCCACCTGCTGCTAATATAAAATATTAAAATATAATTAACAGTGATCTACTGCGGCCACGATATTATAATTAATAATTTGTAAAAAATATTACGTTTAACACGAGAAATAGCGCCCAACAAAGATAATATTACAAAAAAAGTACGTAAACGAGACGATTTGACGACGAATAATAAATAAATACTGGCAATTGGCTCGCTCATCATATGCGGCATATGATTAAAAATAATAATAAATACAAAACTTGTAAACATTGCGACGGACGCATCGATTCGCAATCACGTAATCACGTGACATAATCATAACAATATTAATAATAAATAATAATAGATATATTATAAGATGTATAAGAAATAAGAATAGATGAAATGCTCGGCGACAACGCAAACATAATTGGTAATTCCACATTTCCATAAAATAGTAATTATTTTTAATCAATTATTAAGAATTATTTCTTAAGTGTAAGGTCTTCGGTCTTCCTGTACATTGATAGATTGTATTTACTAACTATTATTGGTTTTATACTTTTATATAAAATATATAATAATTATAAATATTATTTTCAACTATGCTTCAATTAATATACCTCAAGGACGTTGAAGTTTTTGTAAATAAAATATACAACACTGACCGCTGTAATTTTTAACATAAAATTAAAATTTATAATTTTTGCGCCCTCCCGAGAAAATGCAAATTTTTCATTTTTTGCGCCCTCCCAGGAATTGCGCCCGGGGCGTAGGCACCTCTTGCCCCCCCCCCCCCTTGCTACGGCCCTGAATACTAGTAAATTAATAGTATATTAATACGAGTATTTCTCAATGTGTATAATCATAATAATCAGTGACTATTGATGATACATAATATAACAATATAACAATATAAGTATATACGTATATGTCCATATGTTGTTTCATTATTTGTGAGTATCTTTATTAGGCTTAATCAAAGTTACAATATTAAATTATCGACTGTTATAAATTGCGTGTGCTGTCGGACACTTGGACTAGCGTTTTTCCCTAGCCGATAAGAACGCGACCAGAATTTAATCAACAGATACGAGCAAAATGTGATTCTAGTCATACTCTATTTTTATAATACAGAACTCAACACTACAACATTGACTAAAATATTGGAGGAAAACAGATATAATTTTAGTTAAAAATAATGTGGAGGAAAATGGAAATCAACCTTCTTTTTTGGAGGAAAATGGACAGTGGAGGAAAACGGTATTTCGTTTTTGGAGGAAAATGGTCCCGCCCGATCAGGAACGGCCTGGCCCACCGGGATACCAGGAGGTTCCCAGTGGCCTGACCTATTGGAATTTATTATTTGCCTGACGGCTCAACGAGTGAATTACATTATTTTTAATTTTTTTATTCTATTATATATGTGTTAATATTTGTAAACTATACTACAATAGAAAGATTCGAACACCTGTAGCTTGTACCCGTAAATTGTAAATATTTAATAAGTAATAACTAGAATTGCCCATTTAATATGGATATTTTATTTTAGGATGCATAAATGCTTTATAGTATAGTATATTATGTTTCGTTGGAGGGACTAGGTATTTCCTGGCTCACGCACATAATGCATACGGGTCCGAGATACGGCACTACGGCAGCCAAGTTCGAACCAGTGCAGCACGTTTGGGCATTTTTACCTGTTTAGTTTTCAAAATCCACACAACGTTTGGGCACTCTATATCCCTAAAAAGATACCACGTTTGGACACTAAAATGTAAAATGTATATACTTTTGTTTAAGAAGTATATAAAATATGTATACATACATGTATAATATATTATATATTCATATACATATATCAAAATAATATAGAAAACAAGTTTTATAAAGTGTTAGTTACTATTTATTTTATAAAAAAATTAAAATTAAATAAGTACAAATAAAATAAATAATAATGTAGCTACAAAAAAGTGATAAAATACGTAAGTTATCTATACTCGTGTTAAATAAAAATAGTAATCTTATATTAATCAAAATAATGAAGGTAACATGTTTTAGTATTTTTTTTTATAGAAAAAAAAAGTAATATAATATATGGTAATTATAATATTTATATTTTTTATTTCCTTGATAACGAATTCCCATAATTTTTAAATATACAATTAGTGTCATGTCTCCTTTGTCATAAGCATTCCAATTATCAATCAAAAATTTCCTTTTAAGTTCATCCTCTTTTCTGGTGTAATTGAATTGATTTTTTTTTATACTATTTATTTTTGGGTAGAACACGATTCCGTACGGTCCTTATCAGCGTACGGAATCGTGTACGTTTTAAGACACACGATTCCGTACGTTTTGTACCCAAGAGTTTAGTGCAATGTTGCCAGATTTGTCTATTTGACTTAGGCCGGGGCCACACATAGCGGTTGAGCCGCAGCGGCTGAACCGCCAAAAAATTTCAAAATTTTTGATTTTAAATGCAACCGCCTGATTACATTTTTAAAATTTTAAAATTTTTTTATATTTCATACGAATCGACTTAAAATATTTATTAAGTATTGTATAATTTTATCTTTTTATTATTATATAAATTTTATATTTTAAACGAATTAACTATAATTAATATTAAATAGCGACATATAAAATATTTATCAAGTATTATATAATTATTTTTTTTACATTTTTAAAATTTTAAAATTTTTTTTACACGAATTGACAATATTAAATGGCAACATTGCACAGACAATCGTACGCAATCGTATTGTTTTTGGGGCCTTTTTGACAATCTATTGTTTGAACAAAATCGTACGGAATCGTGTTCCCAAAAGGTAAAACGTACGGAATCGTGCTTTACCGTTATTTTTAATGCAGTTTCTGCCTGAATGTTAGTTAGAACGTCTACTATATGGTGTATGTTTGGATGCAGATGGTAAAATTGTGCATTGAAATGTTTATGGAAAGCTTCGGGTCCGTTGGTTGTCCTAGTATTATTTATGGGAGCTTCTGCCCAAATATTTGGTGGAAATTGAGACTCTTTATTAATATAATTTTCTAAAATATAATCAGTAAACGTATGGTTATCTGTAGGAGCTATAGAAATGAGCTCAACAAAACCATCATCAACTTGTTCAGGTAAGAATGCTAGACCAAAAAAATATTTTAGCCATAACCCTATTTCTGTATTATTTTTATACTGATTAAGGCCCCTGCAAACCCTAGGAATTTTTCATCAAAACGACCTTAGCGACTGACAAAAATTAACATACTTCTAGTAGTTCGATTTAAAAAGTGTAAGGATGTTTAAATTCGTAAACAAGTCTACTTTGCATCGGTCGGAGCATATATTTAATATTTTTAATATTTTTCAATATATTCAGTGTTAAAAATTTATAAATTTATAAAATGTAAAATATTTATTTTCGCCAAACATTTGCTAAAATTGAAAAAGTGCTCCGACCGATGCAAAGTAAACTTGTTTACCAATTCAAACATCTTTACATTTTTCAATTCGAACCACTAGAAGTATGTTAATTTTTGTCAGTCATACAGCTATTTTACGTTCTTAAATTGGTTTTGAATATTTTGATGTAAAGACTATCAATGACATGTGCATGCGCGTGCGTGTGATTCTCGGAATCGTCGTAATATAATTATATAATGACCGGCGCGGCGCGCGGCGGCGGCCCCTGCAATAATCTTTGCATTATCGCAATATTTCTACGTTTGACTATAAATACCTATTATTGACAAAACTATTATACAAATTAGATATTGATGATTACAATGTTTAGATTACAAATTGTAATATTATTATGGGCATAATCATTTTATCAATGAACAAGACTACAAGAGTTGTTTTACATTATTCCATCGTGGTATGACATCGGTGTTTGGAGTGTACTTAATTATTGTCGACTGTCGTAACTTAACTTCCTTTGTTTTTGTGAATTTCACTATTCAATAAAAAAATGAATAGGAAAATGTATCTTGGTAATAAGTACAGGCCTTATTTGAGTAAGAGAAAAAAAAATAAAGGAAATATATCATCGCTGAGAAAAGAAAATGTACCTAAAAAGGTAAGTTGATTTGATTCATTAGTTAGGTATTTAGAATCTTGTATTTTATGACTTATTATAATTTTATTTATAGGTTATTACTAACTTAGATCCTTCTCCACGCCAAATATTGCCTTCAATTAGTTCTGCTGACGCAGTTTGTCATGATACGGTGTAAGTGAATATATTCTTAGTATAATAGTTTATCCTTCACTTTAGAGTTTTA